CACCGACGAGATCGCCCACCAGCACGCCCACGCAGTCGCCCACGCAGTCTCCCACGCAGTCCCCGACGAAGTCGCCCACACGGTCCCCGACGCAGTCGCCCACGCGGTCTCCGACGCAGTCGCCCACGCAGTCGCCCACGCCAAGCGTGACAGCCACCAAGTCGCCGTCGAACAGCCCCAGCGCCACGCAGACGCCGTCGCCCTCGATTACCCCGACCCGATCGCCCACGCCGTCGATCTCGCCGACGGTGACGCCCACCCGGTCGCCCACGTCGAGCCCCTCGAGCTCGTTCACGCCCACCCCCACGCAGTCGCCCACGCAGTCGCCCACGCAGTCGCCGACCCAGTCCCCGACTCGGTCGCCCACGCAGTCGCCGACCCAGTCCCCGACTCAGTCGCCCACGCAGTCACCGACCCCCACCAACTCGCCCACGCTGAGCCCCACGCGGAGCCCATCGTCGACCACCACGCCGACGCCCACCACCTCGGGTACCCCTGGGTCGAGTCCCACGCGCACTCCGACCTCGACCCCCACGCCGTCGGTCACGCCCACCCCGTCCATCTCCGCGAGCCCTACCCAGTCCGTCACGCCCTCAGTCACGCCCACCGTGACCCCCTCGGCCACGCCGACCACGTCGCCCACGCGCTCCGTCACGCCCTCGCCCACGCCGACGACGAGTCCCACGCCCTCGATCACGCCGACCAGGTCGCCCACGCCCTCGGGCACGCCGACCCAGTCGCCCACGCGGTCGCCGACCCAGTCGCCCACGCAGTCGCCGACCCAGTCGCCCACGCAGTCACCCACCCAGTCGCCCACGCAGTCGCCCACACCGTCCCGCACTAGCTCGCCCACGCCGTCCCGCACGCAGTCTCCCTCAAGCTCCGTCACGCCCTCGCCGACGAGCTCCAACTCGCCTACCCCCTCCATATCGCCGTCGCCCACGCAGTCGCCCACGCAGTCGCCCACGCAGTCGCCTACGCCCTCGGTCACGCCCACGCCCTCTCGCACGCCGTCGCAGACGCCGACGCCCTCGCCGACAAGCTCGGTCACACCTACCACCACGCCGACGCCCACCCAGACGCCCACCCAGACGCCCACCCAGTCGCCCACCAACACGCCGTCGCCCACCATATCGCCCGCCAACTCGCCCTCTTCCTCGCCCACGCGCACGCCGTCGCCCAGCTCGAGTCAATCGCCGTCCCGCACCATCACGCCCTCTCCGTCGACCACCAACTCTCCGTCGCCGACCATCTCCACCACGCCCTCCACGACGATCACACCTTCCCGGTCGCCGACCAGATCGCCCTCCAACTCGCCCTCGAAATCACGCTCGCCCTCCTCCACCCGCACCCCGACGCCCTCCACCTCCGCGTCGCGCACCCGGTCGCCCACTGTCACCCCGTCGCGCACGCCCACCACCTCCTTCACCCCGTCGCGCTCCCCCACGCAGACGCCGACCCCATCGGTCACGCCCACCAAGTCGTCCACGCCCTCGCCCACGCCCACCGTGTCCGTCTCGGCCTCGAGCTCGCCCTCGCCCACCCAGACCCCGTCCGCAACCCCGTCGCGCTCGCCTACCCCGACGTCCACGCCGCTCGTCGATAACACCTGCATGTACCGGTTCGACGCGACCTACGCTCAGGGCCTGCCCTTGGCCGCCATCGGCACCGACACCCAGTTCTACGACGCGCTCGTGGTGGAGTGGAACACCTACTTCACGCTGGGCTCCAACTTCAGCATCTACGTGCTCGGTTACACGTCCAACGAGGCCGGCACGAGCATCCACGCTGTCTACAGCATTTACTTCACCCCGGCCACGCTGGGCAACTTTGTCGTCAACTCCATCTCGCTGGTGTCGTTCAATGCGCTCGCCGCGGTCACCTTCTCTGGAGACTCGGCCGACTCGTCGCTGCTGTCGCAGGCCTCCGGTGTGCAGTGCTACGTGCCCCCGTCGGCCTCGCCCACACAGTCGCCCACGCCGTCGCAGTCGCCCACCAACTCGCCGACGCCGTCGCAGACCCCGACGCCGTCGCCCACGCCCACGCAGTCGCCGACCAACTCGCCCACGCCGTCGCCCACCCAGTCGCCGACCCAATCGCCGACTCAGTCCCCCACGCAGTCGCCGACGCAGACCCCTACGCCCTCGCCCACGCAGTCGCCCACGCAGACCCCCGAGTCCTCGCCCACGCAGTCGCCCACCCGGTCGCCCACCAACTCGCCCACGCAGTCGCCTACCCAGTCGCCCACGCAGTCGCCCACCCGCTCGCCCACCTCGTCACCGACGCCGACTGTGACCCCGACCGTGACGCCCACGCAGTCGCCGACCCAATCGCCCACGCCATCGCCAACCCAGTCGCCCACGCGGTCGCCCACACCGTCGATCTCGGTGTCGCCCACGCAGTCGCCGACCCAATCGCCGACCGCGTCGCCGACGTCGAGCGTGACCCCGACCGTGACGCCCACCAAGTCGCCCACACCGAGTGTGACGCCCACCGTGACGCCCACGCAGTCCCCGACCCAGTCGCCGACTCAGTCGCCCACACAGTCCCCGACCCAGTCGCCGACTCGGTCGCCCACCAATTCACCGACACCGAGCGTGACGCCCACGCAGTCGCCCACGAACTCGCCTACCAACTCACCTACGCCGAGTGT